CTGTGAAAGCAAGGCAACAGTACAATAAGTTATTTACAAGATATAAAACAGTCAGCATTCATTCCTAGATAGAAATCACGAAAGGCTATCAAACCTCAAGGAAAATAACAACCAGTCGGCTTCACAACATCACAAACCCAAACGACAAGTAAACGTTGCGGCCTAAGAGTTTTCATCAGCACATTACATAAATCTACAACACCAAAAATACGGACAAGAAAACACAGAATTACTTAACTGGCCTATCTCTGATAGAAATCACACTGATTTCAGTATAAAGAACGGTGTACGTACAAACATAGACCCTTACTGTAGCTAATGAGCGGAAGATCATAATAACAGAAATGAGAGGTCTTAGGAGAGTTGATGATGTGACAAGAAGAGATCAAATCAAGAATGAAGAAATTAGGAGAACACTAGGACTGAAACCAGTCATACAATTCATTAAAGAACAAAAAATTAGATGGGTTAGCAACCTGAAGAGAATGCCTTGGTACCAACTGCCAAAGAGAGCCACACTGAAGAAATATAATGAACACAGAGCAAGGGGAAGACCACGTAAGATATAGAGCGAAATCATCAGGAGCAACCTAACAAAAATGAACACTAGCTTACACAATGCTTTGGAGAAAGAGCACACACGATCCTTACATTCCCTCCTCTCCCCCAACCCCCCCCCCCCAAATCCCCCCCCCCCCCAACACCTCAAATCACGGGACTGACAGTAAGTTGCGTTTTCTTCACAGGACATTGGAAAACTAGCCGCAGCATGTTTTTGGAGCTGTTTGTGATTCCAGTAGGAGATTTACGTTCAGTAGTTTGCCTTTGCTATCCGTACGGTCTGCTCTTGATATCCCTATCAAAACCAACGCAAAGCGGCCAAAACGCCCAGGATCGAACTCAGCACCATGGAGTTAGGGAGCGCGTTGGCAATGCCTAAACCAGACGCTCACACTCGTGTCTCCTCCAGCGAAAATCCTAACCCGTGCATCGGCGACAGTGTCGCTGTGGCTCGCCGGTAGACGACTTCGTCGTCAGTCGGGAGAGTATTTGGGTCTGTCTACTTTGATCGCATCTACACTGCAGGAACCCTTTTCAGGGTTTCCGGTGGCCTGCAATGTTACGCCACTTTATATAGCGCACATAACTTGGTCATAATTATAACCTCATGCTCTCCCTTAGGGGATACTGGTTGAACGTGCCGTTTTTTCCCCCGCCAGCAAAGTACCGACCTACCTACCTAACCCTTCTTCAAGCCGCTCTTCTGTTTGAGATATGCACCAACAAATTCCACGCAAAATGACTTTGTGTCAAGAATCTTCTGTTTGCCAAGTTTTTTGGAGCCCATATCCTTTGTCGATATGCATGAGTGGTTCAATCTGTGGCGATGGCGTTTACGCTTCTGCACACATTATGTAACGTTTAGAACTGACACAGCGGTGGTTGTGCTCGGTGCAGGTTCTTTCATCTTGCCGAAGCCGGAGCTATAACCCCAGCAACAGACCCCTTTTGGCTGCAAGTCGCTCATGTGCGTCCGAGCGGAAAATGTTCATTACAATAGGGAGATAGATTACCAGATGCCATCTCTCTCTCTCTCTCTCTCTCTCTCTCTCTCTCTCTCTCTCTCTCTCTCTCTCCCTCTCTCTTCCTCTCGTTATATCTCCCCCTCTCTCTCTCCCTCTCTCCACCCCTCTCTGTCTCCCTCTCTGTGTCTCTCTCTACCCCTCTCTCTCTTCCTCTCTTTATCTCTCCCCCTCTCTCTCTCTCCCTCTCTCTCCCTCTCTCTCTCTCTCTCTCTCTCTCTCTCTCTCTCTTTCCCTCTCTCTTCCTCTCGTTATATCTCCCCCTCTCTCTCTCCCTCTCTCCACCCCTCTCTGTCTCCCTCTCTGTGTCTCTCTCTACCCCTCTCTCTCTTCCTCTCTTTATCTCTCCCCCCTCTCTCTCTCCCTCTCTCTCTCTCCCCCTCTCCCTCCCTCTCTCTCTCTCTCTCTCTCTCTCTTCCCTCTCTCTTCCTCTCGTTATATCTCCCCCTCTCTCTCTCCCTCTCTCCACCCCTCTCGGTCTCCCTCTCTGTGTCTCTCTCTACCCCTCTCTCTCTTCCTCTCTTTATCTCTCCCCCCTCTCTCTCTCTCTCTCTCTCTCTCTCTCTCTCTCTCTCTCTCTCTCTCTCTCTCTCTCTTGCTCAGTATGTGAGAGATTAAGTGTATGGGTGAAGAATGAGAAGTAGTTAGTATGCACCTTTTTGTCCCTGTGTAAAAGACTATATGTTTTTTCTAGTCCCCCCCCCCCCTTCTTTTCTTGTTGTTAGATTACAATTGAAAAAAAAAGTGTGGAAGGGTGGAGGTTTCGTCTTTATACGGAATGTCTAAAATGTTTCTATGAGGTGGGGAGAGTGGGTGGGGGCGGGCTCTAAAAACAATACGATATCGGCGCCCAAATCTTCTCCTTCTTCTTCCCTGTATCTCCCATTGGATTCAAACCTGAAGCCAGTCGTCGTCTTATGGCTTGTTCGCATGTGAGACTTACCCACTGTTCTCTTGTTGTTGGGGGGTTTTTTTTTTCCCCTTCAATTTCTTGACTTTTTAGTGTGTGTTTTTCTTCCTTTTTTTTTTTCTTCAAATTTTAAATTTAATTCTTATTCAGGCCAGCATTTATTACTTTTGACTGTTTGAGTTCTAGCACACTAGCACTGTATGATGTTGTAAGGTTCTTTCAGTGTGTCATATTTATGACACCACGCTTAATTATCCCTCGCTTACTTCCTGTCCATTTTCTTACTCCTTGAGCGACTGCCTGTTACACAGACGAACCTCTACTGCCTTGTAGTTGTTTTTGATAGTCTCGCAGAAAAACTTAACGACTTCATGTCGTCTTGTTTGTAACTATATCGCAGTTGGTTAACATGTGTTTTTCGCTACACACTGATGAAGGCTCTCTAGCCGTAACGTTCATTTCATCATTCATGACTGTGGTGTTGTGAAGCTGGTTAGAGTTACATTGTGTCCATGAGAGTACGTTGGTGTGTTCTTCTTAATTTTATTTCTTCTTCTTTCTTTGTCTACACATGCTGTAAATTCTGGAGGAAAGTTCTGGTTGTTCGTCCACCTCTTGACTTTAGTTTTGTTCCAGAACCTTAGTGTTGCGTGCACATCAATTCTGAATATCTTTTATTTGTATGCAGACTGTTGGTTCCTTGCCTCTCACGCAGATACACTCTAACTTCCAAAAAAGCACCCCTTTAGTCGACTCATGCGACATGCTTGTTAGGGGAGGCAATGGTTCTATTTTTGTTTTTCTTACAATGAGGCCCCAGAACCGACACAAGGGAGTTGTAATTAATTAGACATGTACCGACATCAGCTCGCATAGCTATCCACAGAATGTGTCTGCTTACGTAATTCCGGGCATCCATCCATCGGATAATCCGTTATCCCAGATTAAATCACAGACAAACCCAAACTCACACACGCACACACACACACACACGCACGCACACACACACACACACACACACACACACACATGCATTCATTCATTTATCTATCTATCTACTTACGTATTTATGTATGCATATACATTCAGAGAAAGAGAGGGGAGAGAGTGAAAGAGATCACTGTGGAGAAAGAAAAGAGCTGGAGAATACAGAACAAGAAGAATCAAATAAAGAGGGGATAGAGAAAACACAGATAACGGGGAGAGGTGGGGGGGGGGGGAGACAGTGTAATAGAGAGAGGAGAAGAGAGCGTGATAGAGAGGAGGTGAGAGACGGTGGGAAAGGGGGGGGGGTGATGATATTAGTCATAGTCTCTTATCGTTCCCAGGCACCCACAAGCTATGAGAACTCGCTCTTTGACCTTTGACATGTCAACGAATAATCCCTGCCGCTTGTCAACCCTCCGTGTCCCGTCCCACTGTTGATTATTTAAAAGTAAACTATTTGTTGTTTCTTCTTTTTGAACGTCTCATGATTGAACAAAAAAGCAACAAACAACAACACACACGCAAATTCCCAGCTAATCATCTTTCATATTTCGAGTCCTGGATGTTGACTGCTGCAGAAATCCCCTGCGTGCATTTATCTCTTTGGTTGGCCTTCTCTTTCTAGTTTTTGACGCAAGTGTTTGTAAGTCTGTCTGGATATTATTTCTCCACCGTTCTACCTTGTGCTGCTGTACTCTCATTCAACTCTTTTGCATTATCAGTTTTTGTCTTTAAGATATCTAATATTATTTGGAAATGATTCGGCAGCCGTAAAAGTGCGCTTTCCTGTCGGCTCATTAGTAACAGGTTCCGCACTGATGCACTGTAGTGCGCATGTATTCGTTTACGCACCACCTGCTCAGTAAGCCACAAAGGCGCGGAGTCAGCTCTTTACATTACTTTATCCACAGGCAGCCGCCGTGGTGTAGCGGCTAGATACTGGCCTGCCGCTCTGAAGGTCGCGGGTTCAGGTCTGAAGGCTGGTAAAGAATCGGTTACTTTTACTACATGTAAGCCTTCGCGCTAGCATAATCACTAGCTCTTTCGCCCGGCCACAGACTGACCTGACTTTAGAATTCTCTTCAATATCCCTCACAAACCCCCCCCCCCCCCCCCCCCACCCCTTTTCCCCCGCCTTCCTGCCCCTTTTTATTTCATACTTCCCCATTAGTTCCACTAAAAGGTTAAACCAGTCTCGATTTGTTTTGGGAAGATTTTTTACCAACAATAGAAATGACCTTGGCAATATTGACAACCTATCCCATTGCATACACATCATCATGTAGCAGGTCTTTTGCAGAACGTCGCTCTCATCAGAGTCTGCCTAAAAGAAACTTGGTCTCTCGCCAGCTCTCCCTCCTTTTTCACTTCCATATCGAGGCAGTCACTTATCTTGTTCCTCATCTTCATATTGGTCGGCCCCTGCGCCCCATCCCCTTTTTCTGGCACCATGCCTTTTGCCACTATTTTTTCCCCCAATCCGCAGTGAGGCTTGATATGGTCAAACTACTTCAGCTTCT